CCATCAATCTTGGCCGCTTTGAGCCGATCCCGTACCCGTCCGAAACCCCCCCGCTCCCAAAATATGACCTTCAAATGTGTTCGCGAGAGCCCAAAAAGGAAGGAAAACGAAAATTCCCACCCGAAAAAACTCAACCTTGTTAATAAAAGCCAGTCCCAACCCATTTTGTTTTTTTATTTTTCCTATCATCTAGCTTTTTTTTAGTAGACTGACACTCATCCATGTTACACACACCTAAATGCAGATATAGATAATTCTCTAACTTAAATTTATATGAAGCACGAAGAGACAACATGGAAAGACAAAATACTAGAAAGCACACTTTTGATCTTAGTCAAAATAAATGAACTGAAACAAAGCATGCACTTATAGAACCATACAGACAAGAGCTAAAAATTATCATTATTAAAAAGAGAAAACCCAAGAATCTTCATAAAAGAACAATTGTCTGAAAAAACAGAGACCAGTAACGTATAAGGTAGAAACATATATCAAGAACTCTAAGAAATTTGCATATATTTCCTAAACATTTATTCGGCAGAATAACTAACAAAACAAAGAGTCAAATATTCACAGATCCTTTTATTCATCAAGTATCCTTTTATTACATCAAGTACGGCACGTAACGTTCCCAGTTTTCATGATCCGCTGAAAGATAATTCGTCCTTATGCAGGAGATGAAATTTTGTGTCATTATCTAAAGAACAAACACCTCTAACCAACAAGTATGAAACAATTGTAAAGGAAATTTATGAAGGAATACATTTATAATTTTTAGGAGTTATCAACAACTTGTTCCTGAATCATTAAGCACAAAGTCAACCAACTGCTTATATGAACCAAATAGGCAGTAAAAAAGATCCAACTAAAAGGAACTCCCATAAAAATTCACGAGAAACATGTTTCTAACACGAAAGGGGCAATTGAGCTTTGTCGAACATAATCGGAAAGGCGCAGGACATATTTCTAATTCAAAAGGGCTAATTGAGCCGCTATGCATCTCCTTCAAAACAAATAGCTTTGCGAAGGAAAACAAAAGTGACACACAAGCTCTGTAATTCTCACAGGATTCAGGAAATTGATAATAATAATAGAAGCGTTTACAGCCG